TTGTAAGAAGGCAGGGGACACAGTGTAGTATATGTGGAATGTTTATCATAAGTAAACTGATTATGTAAACATAATCAATAATTTACAAGTCTATGTACAGTACGTGCAGTTGTTACGTCAATGGTCCCGCGCCTGTGGCCGGTGCCTACAATTGAAGAGGAGCATATAAACAGTTAGGAATTATAGATAACACAGCTTCCTAAATGTAAGAAACTACGTAATTGAAATTCAAACAAAAAAATAATTAAATTCACAAAACTTTGAAACAGCCTAATTTAAATTACAAAATACATTACAAATGGCGGCAGACATTTTTGAGTGTTTATTAACTAATAACTTTCATAGATCTAACGAACTACGTAGTTTAAATTAAAAATCAAATGAAGCATACTTACACTACTCAAGTGGTAACGATAGATGGCGGCAGACAGTGCTAAAAGTCTTTATAACATAATTAGTTTCAGAGATTTATCAAACTACAGGGTGTCCCAAAAAATGTATACACGTTTCAAAAACCTGTAAACTTGATGTTAATTATAATTTTTTTTATTTCAAAAATGTAAAGATATTTACAAGTGTCACTGTATTATTTGTTTCAGTTCATGTTTTCAAATTGACGTCCACTTTGACCCAGCTATTTTTCTAAGAACCACCCGCCATACTGTTATTCCCAGTCAAGATCATCGTTATTAAGAGCATGGACTTATCTCCGTATATCACTTTTTTAATGGCAACGTTGCATAATGTGAAAATATGCAGTGAAAAAACAATAAAAGGATACGTGTAAATATTTTTACATTTTTGAAACAATAAAATTATAACGAAGACTAAGTTTACATATATGTAAAATGTGTATACCTTTTTTGGGACACTGTACATAATTTAAAATAAAAAGCAAACGAAGAATACTACACTTAAGTTATAACGGCAAATGGCAGAAAGGTACAAAAAGCTGAAAAATGATGCACTTTGACAAACATGTATTATTTACTATGCCTGCCTGCAGTCAATGCTTACACAATTACATACACTGCTGCTACTTATAAGTACTTAATAGTCAGTCTATTGTCTTCCTCATAATGGTGTGCCGCTAACATTGTCGTAGAAAATTCCATTCTTAACCTCTCATGTTCTTCATATTCTGACTCCTGATTAAAGGGGCAGCAGAAAATTCATTGATGTCCATCCTTTTCTCAAATTATTGGCAGTCGAATGAGAAAACAAATTTAGGCGCAGTTCCAGGAGCTCCTTGACTTGCATAAACCTGAACTGTTGGTTAGCTTGATGAAACTTTTCTCTGAGAAGGTACCCAAAACATCCATAACTACGCCGTGTGCGCGAAAAGTGAATAAGTAAAACAAGTTACATCATACCATCACCTCGTCGGTTGCACATGTCAATATCTCTTAGGCAACAAGACATTACTTACCAACTTCACTGCCCAATCGCATTCCTCGCTGAGGAAATACTTTCCTTGGTATAGTCCCTTTGACAGCCCAAAAGTTTGGGAACCGGGTAAGAATACAAGTTTAGTCATGTTGGCCAAACTACTGCTAAAATATATATTCCTCGTCAAGGTCCTTTATTTAATTATTGGCAGTTACTGTTTGGTTTGATGAGCACTGCACTTTAGTAGGCTATAGCTGTTTTATGTAGCCAACTTTACTGGCCTTATCTGGCAAAAAAACCTCTTCCGTTATCCTAAGCCCAAATGTCTGTGCTTCCTTTCATTGCAGAAGGTCGCAGTAAAAGAGGTTACTCAGAACTCCGAAATATCCGTCACTGGATTTATGGAGGTGGCCGTAATGCTCGACTTAAATCACGCAAATCTCGTTCGGCTGTGTGGCTGGGATTTTCAAGATCAAAAGCTCTATATCATTACTGAACTTGTACACGGTGAAACACTATGCTCCTATGTTCAAAAGGCAAAGAAGAAGGATCTAGAGAATCTGGGTCTGGAAAACATAGTGCTGGGCATTGCCCGCGGTTTGAAATACCTGCAGGCTCGGAAGTTAGTTCATCGAGATCTGGCTGCGAGAAATATCTTCCTGGATGATGGCAAGACACCAAAGGTTAGTGTTGCATTTCTTCGCATATTTCAGAGCTTTTACTTAGCAAATAATTAACACGAGGAAATATCTTCAGTAGTTAGTTTGAAGAGGAGACTCCCAACCCCCCACCTGTCTCCTCACTCAGGGTCTCAAAAGCGTCTCTGCTCGTAAATGGGATGGAATTGAGCACCCCTACGCCATTCCATACATCCTGTTTTCTCTAAGCAACCAGAAATTACGAACTGCATTTAACGCAAAACTTCACCACCGGAATTTAGTCTTATTGGAAATACATTAGCAAGAATTACTATTTTAATTGTCTACCTGTTAAATTTTTGAGAACTACAATGTTTGTTTCTTTGTTTTTACTTCGTGATGTTCAATCACGCTACAAATGAATTTCGTTTTCAGATCGGTGACTTTGGACTCTGTCGAAGGGAGGGTTCATGCTATCCTTGTGGAGAGGTGCCAGTAAAGTGGTCGGCACCAGAGGTTTTAAAGAACAAAGAAAACTACAGCACGAAATCGGACATCTGGTCCTACGGTATTGTCCTCTGGGAGGCATACAGTCTCGGGCACGTACCCTTCTTTAATGTACCCAATAACAAGCTGAGCGATGAATTGCAGAAGGCCTTCAAGGCGAAAAAGTGTCCACTTTACTTCCCCGAAAAAACTCCTAAAGCGGTCAAGGCGGTAGCTTATAGTTGTCTACAAGAGGACCGTGAACGTCGCCCCACTTGCAATGTTATAATTGAAGAATTGCAAACGAATAATTCGAATCCGAAAAATGCTCTTTCTCATATAACTCCGCCTCCGGGAGATCCTCAATCTTTGCCTCCAAGAAATCATTTATCTCCCCCATCTTTGCCTCCAAGAGAGCCTCTATCTCCTCCATCTTTGCGTCAAAGAGGGCCTCTACCTCCCTCATCTTCGCCTACGAAAGATCCTCTAACTCCTTCATCTTTGCCTACGAGAGATCCTCTACCTCCTTCATCTTCGCCTACGAAAGATTCTCTTACTTCAACACCTTTGCCCTCGAGTGACCCCTCACATCCTCCATCTTTGCCGTCTCTGCATCTTAACGCAGAGTCAAGTAAAACGGCATTCTAGGCCGTCATAATCCCATTTTTATCAATTTTTTCTGAATAAATAGACCTAGATTGTGCTTTTCGCACTGTGACCTCAACCTGTTCGCTGTCATTTACTGTGCGTGTTTCCGTACCTCTTCTTCTTCCTCCTCTGTCTACAAGTTATTTTATACATCCTCCTAACTGTTACTCAGAGGGTTTTAATGAAGCGATATTTGTCCATTCTCATTTGGTCACGTGAAGTAAACAGGGCACCAATTTGCGTTTTCTGCTGCAAGCGTCTCCAAACTGAGAATTTAAGTATTCTCCAGAAACCAAGACGTGTGATGTTTTTATCAATTTTTCGAATTTGTGGACATATATCTATTTCACAAACTGCGCCTTGTTTTACATAAGTATGTATCACGAAAAATTGCATATTTTGGGAAGACATCGTGCACCGCTTTTGATTAACAATGTACTTGGCGAACTTTTAATTCTGTTTGGTACAAGCAACCTCATTTAAAACCTTTCATCAACCACGCTGCTTACCATGCTACCCATCCGGGCTCCTCTCCTCTATCCATATCATTTTTGAAGCTGGCTGGTAAAAAAAGAGGAAAGACGGAGTTGTTGACCGCGAGGGGTATATTGGGCAGATACGGTCTTTCATGACGAATGGTACCTTTTTACTATTTGACGAATAAAATTGTCATCTTGCTTCGTTTCAGTCGGTTTTTGCCCATTAATTTTTTGTCCGGGCACTATCCTACAATTAATACTTCTCGAGATTGTGGCCTTACTAATATCAGACATATTAGCTAACGACTTACGCCACAGGATTTCGGCTGCGCATTTTCGTATGCGCACGAAGTTGGTGTCAGAGAGCACATGCTTTGACATCTGAGCCCCACGACAGGACACAGAAAATTGAAAAGCAAGTCACGGGTTCTGCTTTTATATATAAAGTTGTATTTTCTTAGATGTCGGTACGATTAAACAAGTTTACCTTACAAATTTATAGCTGCCTTCTATGGTGTAAAACTTCACATATTAGCAAATAAAAACTTTTAAAACTCAACTTGTTTCTTGCTTCTGAAACTATATGCGATTCCTCAAGCGTGGCATCACTTTCATTAGAGAAATTTCGAAAAAAACTTTTCGAGTTCCAGAAGAGATTATTATTCCACTTTTTTACGTATTCTGCAATTCTTCCACAGCACAATGGATATTAGTAAAAAGTTTGGATCCGTCGTACCATCTAGCATGGGAAGTTTAATCGGTATGAACTTACTCATGATTAAGCCAAAATTAGTGCCTATTTCGCTCCATAACTTTAATTGAGGTGGCTGTTTTCCAAAGTAAAGCGCTTATAATTATTAAATCCACTCAGTTGATCAAAATAACCTGTCCAACTATATG